TAAGGCACAGGATTAAGATGAAGTTTGGTGCACATGGAGAGAGTAACTCTGATCAGATTTGTGGGTTGTAAGCAAGGAAGTTTGGTTGTCAGTGTCTTTGATATTTTTTAAAAGCTCAATATATACTCATCTGTACTTCTACTAAGGTGTTGAGCGTTCTTATGGACAGACCCTCGGTTGACTCTTTTCTTTATTAACCAGCCCCGGGATATACATAGAAAACTGGAACACTACACAGAGAGCGAAAAGGGCACATTCGGAATCCGAGGGCACAAGATTAACTGAGGGAAAAAAAAAAAAGAAGTGCCACGGCGTCAGCTTCAGACAAGGAAAATAATTATTTTCTATTTTGGCCAGGAAGGGATATGTCAGGCTGTCGCATAAGGAGTCATCGCCGCCCTCCCCCTCCCTCTCTGTCCCTCACCCACAGTGTCATGACACTGCCAAAGCGTGAGAGAAATTGGATGTAATTCAAGAATGTTAAGAAGCTCAGCTCGGAGGAAAAAGAAATAAACCAAGATCTTACAAAAATACAGAAATCCGTTTCACCCCCTTTTTTTGTGTGCGTGTGTGTGTGCATGTGTGTCTGCATAAGATAAGGAGACTTTGTTTTACTCTCCGGGCCAGTGTGTGTGCTGTGATTGAGACACGACAGTCACAGTTTTGATTATCTCTATCCCACTACTCTGAGGTTCTCTTTCTCAGGCTCCTCTTCCTCTTTCTGTATAAAATTGCTGACTGCAGCTTGAACCCCCCCCCCCTGGAAGTGTTTGACCACTAGAAGGGAAATTACAGATGCTGGTTCTGTAGCCTTTGCAAAGAACTGGCTGGAATAAAAAAGACTTGTGTTTTTTCGTCTTCTCTCTTTTGTCTCTGCTTAACCTCAACCCATTTCTCTGAGGACTGACTAATTTCTCAGTGTCGTAAATACGCCGGCTGTTGTGTCTGTGACTGAGCTTTGTTAACAGGCCCATGTCAACAAGCACAAGCCATTAGTCGCTCGTTATCTGTGCCTGAAGAAGACCAGACTTACACAAACGAGATCTTTTTTTTAAGGAGTCACACTTGTACCCTTCATCCTTTCAAATGCAATTACACATTGGACTGTAAGTTCCCTTGTTAAAGTAGGCTGCAGAGAGTCTTGGGTTTTGTTCAATCTTTCAACATGTTTGTGTGTCAGTGTTTGTCAGTGAGGTGTCAGTCATGTTGTCAGCTAAAAGGCTACTGGATAAACGGACTCGGTGTAATTGCTTTGTAGATATTTCCACTCAGATGGGAAGTGTTGCTGCAGGGACAGGCGACAAAGAGCCTCTCACTCACCATCGTTCCCATCTCAGTGTCTCAGACTGAGAGCATGTCTTTGGCATCTGGTGCCAGGGACGCGATCTCGCCAGCAGCGAGTCAATGTGCAGTCGCTGGGACAGGAATGCCGGGGCCCAAGTATAGAAGGCTGTGTTTGTACTTGTCACTCACTGCACTGCCAGTTGTGGGGAGAGCTGCAGAAACACTGTAGTGCCCATGTCATACAGGCATTCCAGTTTTGAGGCCTCATTTGCCGCCTTGTTGCTTCTGTAAACATTTCCAGGTGCCAATGGCAGTCGGACGCGCTGATAAACACATGAGCTGTAACTGAAAAATGAACTGCGCTTTGCTCGTGAACATGGAGGAGAAGAGTTTATTAGAGCAGGGGCCTTTTGGTCATCATGGATTATGATAACACTGAAATTACCAAAGTAATTAGTCCGACTGGTGGATGTGGCATCATGGCGACAGGCCATTTGAGCAGAAATTACAGGCAGTCACAGGCTACTACAGAGCATCAGGTGTTCTTTCCTGTCCATTTGTTATTTAATATTGATTAATAAAGATACTATAGACAATGCCACTTCCTGCATTAACATCTAAAACATGTCTAACTATCCAGTAACTGCAGATTAAGATACTTTAGTAGCTAGGTAGTAGCTGTAATGAAATAGTTTTTCTATATTCAGATTACCATATTGTAGGGACAATGCCCTGAAACATTAAAGGGTTTTATTATGTCCAAAATATTTCATATATTTCAAGTAAAATGGATCAGTAAACAGAGACTATTTATGATGACATTCTTGACATCCACAGCATGAGCGAAACCTTTTTCCAAGTGCCGGATCTGTACATTGTGGTGGTATTGGAATCTAAATGTATGTTACTTTTCCGTATTGCAATGTCAAAAAAGCACTAGACCTATTTTTTATAGTTTGGAGAGTTGCGACTCATCCAATCATCCAAAATGTTTGTAGCAGTTTCCAAACCAAGAGAAATCTGTAATCACATCACAGTAACATTTAGTTGTATTTCAGTGGCTTCATATTGTCAGTTTGCCTGCCAGAAGAGTAGAAATTAACTTTTCATCCAGTTTTAAGTTGCATTTTTACAAGACACATTTTAGTTTAGGTTTTTCACTGTATGTGATGAAAGTATTTAGTCATTGGACGTATACATTTTAAGAAGTAAGAAAAACAAGATGAGCAAAGGATGGCGCTGACTCAGTTTGCAGCTCTTCCCAAACATCCTGTGCCCATCAAACAAGAAACACAGATTTTTAACATGAATCTCATTTAGTTGTTTTACCAGATTGAATTCATTGTTTTGGAGAGGAGGAGATGTCTGAGCATAATTTGGCTCCTGAGCGATACAGAACATTCAAACCGGTAGAGGCTGACTGCAATCACAACAATGGTGGTAGAGGCAATAATTTCCATGATCTCACGCTAGTTTACCAAACCAAGTCTTTTGTTCTTGTTTTGATTTGAGGTTTTGAGTTTTTGAGTTTTTGATTGGCCGGGGGAGGGGCTTGTAAAGGGAGGAAAAGCAACCTTAACCAATACAAATCCTTACAAGGCCGTCGCCCTCCCAGGCTTTGTGCTCATCTAAATCTTCACTGTGGATTCTCTGGTTTGCTGGAGTGGAGGATGCGGTGAAGATAGCCCAGGCCCCTGCCAGGCTGTCCCCCTCCGCACACTGGCCACCCAGCAGATGAGCTCGGAGAAACCCAAAGGCAAACAGACTGGCTGGCTTATCAGAATGTTTAAACAGCACGGCATGGTGGGAGAAAGCAGTGTCTTAAACGGGATCTAGCCAATCTTTAACCTGCTGGAGATAGCCCTGCAGTGTCATTATCAACATCCATGGGGGGAGTGCTTACTCAAGTATCACGTACTGGGAATAGACATGGTTTTCTTCACTGATCAGTCCAACATTATCGCTCATCGGAATTGTACATAGAGTCCAAAGCAAAGAGATATAATGAGTAAGCACTTGTAGAATGAGTGCTTCGCCTGGTCAGCATTCAAGTGTGCAGCTCTCGCAGCCTCCTCTTGGCTCTGTTTTCAATTACTAGTTCAAAAAGGCAAAGAAAGATTAGAGATAAAATCTTGTTTTTCAACTTATTTCCTCTTGGGGGGGGGGGGGGGTGAGTTGTTGCAGGGCCATGAATGTAGAGTGACAGGGCTTTCTTGTAGCTGAGGTGGGGATACCCTGATCCTCAGCTTCCTCATCATGCTGCCCTGGAAGTGTTAAAATGAGAAAATCTGTGCTTTTCATTCCTGACCTGTCACAAGAGATGGTGGTCAAATTACCTAAAGAAAAAAAAAGTGCAGAGCAGAGCGGCGAGCTGGAATGGCAGGAACCCAGTGTGAAAACCAATGCTCCTCTTCCCAAGTGGCTCGTGAAAAATGCCCGTGTCAGTTTGTATGAACAGCTATTTAGTGTTTTAGAAATCATTGCAGTTCTGCAGCAGTTTTGCTGAGGTGCCGCTGCTCTGCTCGGCACACACAGCCGGTCAGTGCGAATTAACTGACTTCAAGGCTAAAATAGACAGACCCAGAATAGACATTTTACTCCCCGCTCGTATTTAATCATTAACTCGACAAACAGATGTGATTCACACTGAGGTTGTTCTGTCTTTGTCTTTACGTGCGTTCACGGCCCTTTTGGGAATTTGCAATCAATAGTAACTTCATAAAAATAACAATTGTGCTAACTAGTTGTTTGTAATTGTAAATCCGAATTTATAGCGATGGGTCTTTCTTGATCAGTCGTTGCAGTCTCAGGTTTGCTGAACATTGTTTGTTAAAGGTTAAATGCTGAAATGATCCATGCACATGCCTTCGATAGGTGCACTTAGCTCTGGGCTCGGCAGAAGAATGTTTCCTCTCAGAGACGGGACTGGTTGTTCTAAACATGCCAGAGCCCATTTGCTGACCTGAGAATTCATCGGAATAAAAATAGCCTTGTTATTTTCCCTCTCAAAGCCTCAACGTGATGCCATTTCACGGCTTTGATGAGGGGGCATCTTCATTCAAATGCTGGCTGCTTCATGATGTGAAACATGGGTCGTGCTGTCGTGCCCTCCTCGTGATGGGAATACAGGAACGACTTTTTTCAAAATGTGTTTGCACGAGACTAATATCACCCCGACACACCGTGATTGGTTGTAACTGCTGAAGTCACCAGTGGATAAAGTCCTGTTTGATCCAGAGTTTACTGAACAAAAAAAATGCTGTTAGAATTGCAGGTGCCTGTTGAATTTGGCGGTGGTTGACTTTTGAAAAGATTTGTTTATAGCATGGTGGTAATAACACATTAGAGAGCCCATGGATGAAAAACATGAGTTGTATCGGCCCCGGCTGACTGCTACACCCCCCTGGACATTTTGGCTGCCACTATTTTGATTAAACATTGAGTTTAATGAACAAAATAAAAATAAAAGATGGTTTTATTATTATTTTGGCTGTAACAATTATTCAGAGAAGTTTTAGCAGGGAATTCGCACTTCACTGGAGCTGAAGTTTCATTATGCAGAGATTTTGTGGTTCACTGATAAGTTGCATGAGATCCCCACATTATTCGCTTTGTGCAAACAGGGTTTATAACTGTGTTTTTGTTTTTGTTCTCTTTTTCCTGGGGCCTGATTCTTATTTTTTTTTTTTCTTCTTTCCTTTTTCTTCTTTCCACAGCATGCGGTCGTGGTTTCTACAAGTCTTCCTCCCAGGACCTTCAGTGCTCTCGCTGTCCAGCGCACAGCTTCAACGACCGCGAGGGCTCCTGGCGCTGCGACTGCGAGGACGGTTACTACCGAGCACTCTCTGACCCTCCGTCTGTGGCCTGCACAAGTAAGTCTGCCATGCCGTTGCTAGGTAAACACAGCGCGCACCACTTGCTGGGATCTGAATTTAAACAGTCACACATGCGAGGGAAGAAAAAAAAAAAAACACACACCCTGGCCCCCCCCCAGGCCAGTCCTGCTTAGTCAGTCTGCAGTGGCCTCATGAAAGCCCCAGATGTGTTCCATAGCAGTTCGTCTGCCTCCCAGTATGTCATTATAATTATGTTTGCAGGCTTGGATGTCTGTTTTCTGTCTTAGCTGGTTGCTAATGATGAGAGGAGCAATTTGCCATTTCCCATCTGAAAGATTGCAATTACAGTCAGCAGCGGCAGCCCAGGCAGCACCCTGTGTCTTCATTTGTCCTGGCCAGTGTAACAGCTTTGTGACAGCATCGATGGCTTACTTACGCAGTCGGACGGCTGGTGCTCATTTGCTTCTTAATCCAGGTTCAAACATATATTTTTTTAAATTAATTTCAAGGTGCTTCAGATTTTTTTTTTGTTCCGTTTGCCTACGTGCACAGGGTGTGGCACAACCCAGCAGGGCAATGTTAGCTCCCTGCTTTATCTGGAGGTAGACAGCACCCCTAAACAGGATCTCGGCACCTTATCTGTGTGCCTTCATTCTGCTGATAATGTGTCAGAATCCTGGATAAACCTACTGGCTTCTGGCTGCGTGATAAACCCTTTCTGTCATCCTTGTTTTGATATATCTATTAAGAAAAGCAGATAAATTAACCTTTGGGGATTCCGGTCATATATTTTGTAGCATTTTTCTGCTGATTAAAAAAACAACAAAAACACATATGCACATGGGGGAGAATCAGCAGGCCTGGTTCACATCCAGAGCAGTGCCGCTTTTTTCCCCCTGAACACCCAAAGTAGGCCAAGTCAGAATCTCTAATGTCTGAGTTGGTGTGTGTGTGTGTGTGTGTGTGTGTGTGTGACAGGGAGAGCTGGTGAGATATTATGCTAATATTATAATTTTATAGGGCTGCATTGGCTTGTTGTCTGTGCATTAAATCAGAGTATCAGAGAGGATTATATGGATTTGAGTTTGGATTTGATGTTGTGAATTTCATGTAGAAAAAATGTTTGTCATTTGTCTCCAAAGCAGAGTGTTGAGCAACGTCTCTGTCTCTGCTTGCCCCACAGCTCTCTCCATTTATTACAGCACATGCTCAGTGCACAGGTGTGTTTATGCTGCCAGGCGTGTGTGAGCATAGGTCATGAATTATTTGGCAGACGCCTCAAATGTTAATATAAAGATTTTTTAATTCCACTCTTGTGGAAGAAAAATATTCCTGGGGGTTCTGGGCTTATGATGTAAGTGATTACATATTAAGAGGAAACATATATTAATTAAAACACAGGGTGAGATAGAGGTTTGCCAGAAAAAAAAAACTTGAAAATTGCAACTCGGATAAGCAAGTTATCTGCCTCTCTTTATTAATGAGCTGATTTTCCACAACCATCATCTATCTTCAAAACATCAGCCTTCTGTTTTTACTTTTCAGTCGGCTGTTTCTCGCTATCATGTTGAACAGATAAGTAATGGGTATGTCTCCAACTTCAGCTAGTGACCTGTCCAGAGAGTCCGACATTTTCTTTTTGTCCTGGTGCTAAAATGTTTAAAGTGGGCTGGATTTACGCTCTAAACATAGATCGTGCCGAACCGACAAAGATAAATACAACATAAAATCCTGGCATCCATTAAAATTGATTTCTGGTATCCTCATCCAGTCATATTGGTTAGAATATAGACGAGAATCATGTAGAAAACAGGAAGTACATTGGGACATAACAACGTCTTGCCATCCCCTTTCATGATTGACTTCGATTATTTTCAACAAGCAAGAAATGCCTGTTTTTAAAAGCTTTTTAAAGTTATTGAGCTCATCTCGAACCTGTAAAAGTTCTTAACCAAGCTCAGATTTATCTGTTGAAATCCATTCCTGTTGTTGTCTGAAACAAACAAGGACATAACTCAGGCTAAGCAAATCTAAGGTCGGCCAGTGACCACAAACCACCATCCAACCATACAGATCTTGTTCTAAAAGACAGGTCCATTACTCTCTTCTCCAACCATCCTAATCGGATGTTAACACTACACTCCAACATCTCCCACTGATCAAGGGCAGTGGATAGAACCGGAGAAAGTTCCCACTTCTTTGCAGTGTCCTCTGACTGTTCCCTTCTGGGTAATCACCTTGGCCAAGTACTGCAATAATTACTGAAGCTGGATAATGCACACTTTCCATTATTCATTTTCATTAACTTGGGGTCTACACTTGATGACCCCATTATATGTAAATATGTATTTTTAACTTATGAATAGCTCCGCCATCCTCCTCATTCACCCGTTGCAATTTTTCTACAGCTTTCTGTACGTGCATTTCCTCATTCATCGCTGGATTAAGTCAGTGTGACCAATAGTCACTGTGATTTCCTTATTCAAGCCTTATCCAGACCAGGAAAGAATAGTAATTGAAAATGAATTTGCACTGCCTGAACAAATAGCTTGATTGACAGATTTTTTTTAATAGGGGTTTGTAAAGCTACCATATTGGAGGCCTTAGCAAAACAGTGAGAGGGATCTCTGCCACACAGAGATTAAGAATGTGTCTATGAGGATTTGAGAGGAAATGAGATGAAGATGTAATGTAGAGACATGAAAAGTCAAATCCACGCTGAATAAAGATGAGGGAAGAAGTTCCAAAAACATAATTCCAAATACATTGTTTCCCGAGTGATATGTGTTGAGAGGGGGTGGAAAGAAAAAATGAGAAGTGCTTTTGTCTGACAAATATTTGTCCAGGCCATTCATATGCAAAGTTGTGAGAAAATTAGATATACAGGGACGACTGTGGGGACGCATTTTCACCAGGGCCGAGGCACAGACTGGAGCTGTTGACAGGCTCGGGAGCGGACATCAATCATGCAACAGCTGTGAGCAGTGCTGGAGCAAGCAGGGGGCTGAAAGCAGCAGTCGCAAGTGGTTGCCCCCTCCTCCCAGACCCGGCCGCTAACCCCCCCCCCCCCTCTAAAAATGTGCCACCTCAACAAGTTGATATCCGTCAGAGGGCTCATCGTGCCTGGAGTGGTTGTGACAGGGCTGAAGAATGTAGGAGCTAGTGTTGCCAACAGATCACAACTCGTGCTAAGCTCATTATCTAAAAACCAATTTTTTTTGCTTCAGTTGCTTTTGCCAAGGCCAGATTTACCAGCAAGGTGGCCCTGGGTCAGAAAATGAGCTGTGGGCACCTTTTTTTTTGGTTATACTTTAATTGAAAGCAGCCTAATAATGGAATGTAATATGCATTGGATATTAATCTAGATTGGCCATGGGGCTGATCAAAACATATTTCTTGATTCCCTGATTAAGAGACAAGGCCATGAGATAAGGCCATTCAAAGGGACTGAGATACCGACAACTCGGAAAGATTCGGTCATTGTTCTCTCATTGGCTGAATGTTTCACTGCCTGGCAGCTTGTAGCATATATTTCCTCTGTGAAATCTCAGACCTCTTAGCTTAAGCAGCTGAGGTGCACAAACGTGTGTGCATTGTTTGAACACAGTTTCTTTAATCTTTTATTCCCATCCATGTGCCATCGTACACCCTCCAGAGAGTGAGGCTGAAATGGAATTTCAGCCTGCGGCCCGCATTTTGTGCGAGTTGCAAATCCAATATTGAATTCACTGTGGTGTTGAAGTAGTCTTGAAATTTTAGTTATCATGACAACAGCAGTCAGAAGCCCTTCAGCTAAAAAACAAAACAACTCTTCTTCAAGCCCTCCTCTTCAGCCTCATACAGGTTCTGCTGCAGCCACATCATTAGAGGCTAGGTCACGGGGGCACAACACACATTTGTAGAGTGAGGATTACCTCATGGGCGATTTGAATACCACTCACCCCTGCTGCCCTTCTCCCCATAGTCCCCCCCAATTAGAGCACAGTCGGCTAATAGGCTGTGGAGGGTTAAGGCAGCCCTGAGCACATCTCAAGGCCGATAAGCGCTGGATTCTTCTCTCCTAAGCTTGGATTTAGTCAGGTCTCACAACTCTGCACAGAGTAGAGATAGGCTTTGAATAATGACCTAAAAACGACTGGTATGTTTCCTATATGGTAGATTATTAGATTTAGTGGTTACCTCTTTTTTTCACCACTTTTACACATGCAAGTTCTTTTTCACAGATTCAGAGTTCAAACGGAACCATACAAATGATGCAACATGAACCATCAGCTGCATGTACATATTCCATATGTATGCACAACAACAAAAATACCAACACACACATGCTCACTCATGCTTGGTCACAGCGGCAGTGTTGGGAGGAAGCTAGCAAGTGATTGAGACGTTTCAGGCTGTGGGGGCTGGCTGGCTAATCCGTGAAATGAAACTCGACTGGGAGGAGGGGTGAGAGGAGCGAACACGAAAGATAAGACAGAGTGGGTAATGGGGGGGGGGTGAGGTAGGAAAAAGAAGAGGGAGAACGACAAGCCCTTGAGCTATAAGAATGAGCAGACAGACAGTGGAGGGCTCAGGATGCGGCGCAAATCTGTGCTGCAGGTGAATTGGGGGCAGAAGAGTTTCCTATTCCGGAGTTCAGACAGAGGCTGTTTGGAGAAACAAAGAGGCGCCAAGGCAGACGACGAAGAAGAAAGAGAACTGAAGGACTCAGTGTACTTCAAACAAACTGGGTTGTATGATATGTCATATTTTTTGAAGGGAAAAGAGTGTATACCTCTTTGTGGGCACACTTGTGGCTGGGTAGAAGACCTACTTTCTCCCATTCCCTTTATCTCCCTCCAAGACGTTTGTGTCTTTTAGGTTTATAGTCTTCACATAGTCTCCAACAGCAAGTCGTCTATCTCTACAGCCCTGGAGAATGGACTGGCTACACCCATTGTCATTCTGTGACAGGAGAATAAACTATTCACGATCATCTTGGGTGGCGCTAAACCCAGGATGCAGTGACTGTGCCGCCGCAAATCAGTGAACGAGGGTGAACTTGTATTGAGCTGCTTTCAGACACGCACTGAATCTCCTGACACTCGTGCCAGCCCCATAATAAAAACTCTAGATAATGTCAGAGAGAGCTCATGTGAGAAAACAGCAGGAGATCTTAGAGGTTTTAATGCGAGCGAGTGGGCGCTTTGGTGTCGTTCCTAACATGTAACAACTGAAAATAACAAGAATATAAATCTATCAGGACAAAAGAGTTGCCATACACATAGAAGATATTGACGAAGATGTCAACTTAGAAAGACAGACAGATTTGAGGGGTTCAGCAATAAGGGTCGTCGCGTTGATGTGCTGCAAACAAAAAAACGCAGTGGAATTTATACATTTCATCCCACCTCTGCCTGATGCACCCCCTTCCCCTGAACTTGCAGGGTATAGTGTTCATCTGAAAACAAGAGAAAAGACAAAGGTTACACAGATCAAGGAACTGTCTAATCTAATTTCTTTTTGTCTCTTGTTGCTGTGAAATCACTGCTGTGATCTTTGGCACCTGAGACCTAAACGTGAGTGGCACAAGAAATTGATGCTATCATCACTAACTGTGGCCATAGAGATGGCAGAATAAAAGATCCCTGAGGCTTGGATTTGAGGTGTGTGTCTAAGTATGTGTTATGGGCACACCTATTGTCTGTGACAAAGACTCAGAGCATGGGGCTGAGAGTGTCAATGCCAAGGCTGAAGTCGAGTGGCGCTATCGGCAGTCACTCTTCTCCACTTCACCTGCCACAGGTGGCTCTTTCATCTTCCCCGTCCACAGTCTGTCTCTTATCTTACCCGATAATCATGAATATGGATGTCTCCATCGAGCCCTCACTTCCAATAGGGGGGGGAACAAGGAAAAACAACCAAGTGTTGCATTAATGAATATTGTGATAGCAGCTTTGGCTCTGTGCATATGCATGACCTGTTTTGTTAGTTAATGTGACAAATTTAATGAGTTGAGACGGCCCTTCCCAGAGATTCCCTCAAAGAATATTTCCTGAGAAAACAGAACAATTTCAATGAATCTCCCAGAGAACAAAACCAAGATGTTCTTCACAACCTTCATAAACAAAGAATACAAGTCATATAATCTTTACTGTGTTAGAGGGAGTTTATTTATATCAACATATGGGTCATAAAAGCCAACAGCCTGGAATTTTGAAAGATCTAAGCAGCAATTTGTTATTCATCGTTTTACGAGATGAGCTAATCTCCCTGCCGTTACGTTTACAGGCAAATGGTCCGTGCGGTGGTGTTCACGTTCGATGCCGTAGCGCTGGTTGTTTTTGTATGTCAAGCGAAACTGTATATGGCAGTTACAGGACGGCGATCATCCAGGTTTAAATCCCATGCATAAATTCTGCGGATCAGGCACTTCTTTTTTTGGGAGGCATTCATTTTAAGTGTCCTGCTGTCAACATGATATACAGTACCTTTCCAAAGAAAACCAGCAAAGCCCCTTCCTCCAGCTGGGGGATAGTTGTATATTTTTGGAGGACAGGAAGAATTCGAGAGTGACTGTCTGTGGCTTCTGATTCCCTGCGAAGCATTTGTCTGACCGTGTAACCGTGTCTCAGTCATTTCCACAGCAGCTGCAGATTTTATGCTGTTAACAGGCACTATGTAAGCAAAGCCTTTATAATCTATCTGGATGAATCACCAGCTAAGTTTGCATGTGCGAGGGCACTGTTAAAACACATAAGGTTGCTTCCAAATCGAAATATGAAGCTGCTCTAATCATTATTTTTATATTAATGATAGCTCTTGTTAACATGACAGGAAAATTATAGCAACCATCAGCTCTATAGAGCTATTGGTTCACTCTCACTGCTCTCATAATAATTATAGATAATATGTACAATTGAATTCCTTGATCCATCTATCTATCTATCTATCTATCATAGACAGTTACATAAAAACTACTCTGACTATTAAAGTTATTCTCCCTTTGAAACTCTGGGCTCCACTGCTTGATTTCACACCCTTCTTTGCACTGACCTTGGTGTCTGCCAGAGCCGGTTTCCTCTCTGTGTACCTGCACCTCTTTTTTTCTGGATCTGAGTCTTATTATAATTGAGTGTCAGTGTTTGGCTCTAGGGCTGAAGCTGGCATGTCCCGTACTGTTTTTTTTTTTTTTTTCTTCTTACAGAGAACAGAGAAAACACAGATCCAGTCAATGCACAGTCTTGGCTGTCACTTTCCTTGGCACTCAGTTATTTAATTCTGGTTTCCTCCGTGTCCACCTCTGACAGGACCTCCCTCGGCGCCACAGAACCTGGTCTACAACATCAACCAGACCACTGTTAGCCTGGAGTGGAGCCCGCCGGCCGACACAGGCGGTCGCAATGATGTCAGCTACAGGGTAATATGCCGGCGATGCAGCTGGGAACCCGAGGAGTGTGTTCCATGCGGGCCGAATGTGGGATATTCTCCTGCACAGTCAGGATTAGTGGACACTTACGTGACCATCATGGACCTGCTTGCCCACGCCAACTACACTTTCGAGGTGGAGGCTGTCAATGGGGTCTCGGACTTGAGCCGCACACAGAGGCTGTTTGCAGCAGTGAGCATCGCTACTGGTCAAGCAGGTAAGGCATGTTTATTGAAAATTACAATATCGAGGATGACAATTTCTCTCCAATGTTCTTGTGTGGGGTAAAAGCACTTATTCATTGAAACAAAGTTTCTTTTAGTTTTTGTAAATTCATATTTTTGTCTCAACCACTGTCAACACTAGAATGGCACTCGGTATAGCACATTAACACATTTTAATAATCCTGGATTCCGTTCCTTTTATCCCTGCACCGAAATCGAATGGGTTCTTCGGTGGCCTGTGTTGTATCCTTCTACCAACTTTGGTGCAAATCAGTTCAGGATCTTTTGCATAATGCTGCTGATAAATAAACTAATAAACCAACAAACAGACACAGAGAAATCATAAACTCCTTGGCAGAGGTAATAAAAAGATTATATTATGAGAAGGTCCTCCAGGTCCCTAATACTGCTTACCCAGATTCCAATAAGTTTTTGTTGTTGGGCATTGAATTGTTTCTTTCATTTTGAAGAGATAGTTTAACATTTGGGAAATATACTTATTCACTTTCTTTCCAAGACTTAGCTAATAAGATTGATAACGATCTCATGTGAGCTTATTATAAGTACTAAGGTGGAGCCAAGTATCAGTCAGCCTGGCAATAATTTAAAGTCTGGAAATGAGAAGACACAACCAAGTTTTGAATGTTATACACTTCTAAAGAATTATAAATTAACGCTGTATCATGTGTGTTTAACCTATACATGCACAGAAACAAAACGACAATTAGAAGTGTGAAAACTGCCTTGAAACAATATCAGTATAGTCAAAGTTACCTTTTTTGAAATCTAGAAATAATTACTTCCCCAAAACTTTAATCTGTTTTTAATTTCCATTTGATGGATTAACCAACAAGGCGAGTCATGTTGATAAGTGAGCTTTAGAGGTATTAGCTACTAAACTAACCATGTCCTGATGTCAGTTTAGTATATTATACAGACTCTAGACATTCAATATTTCCTTGGGTGTCTCCTCAAAGCTGAAGTTGACACCATGGACACCAGTCTCTGTTCACTTTACAGTTTAAAGAGGATGCTGCATGATAGCATGGGGCTCAACCTTTGCTCCAGCTGAGAGATTATTAGGCATTAGCAACATGGTGGTTTCATTTTGAAAACCTCTCCATTAGCATTAATAACCACAGTCTGAAATGAGCCATAATATTTCCAGTATGCATATCACCCAGATTAATTTAATGTATATATCACAGTGGTAAACATTATTAGCTCGGCAATGATGCAGACTCCCAGTGGCACCTTAAGAGCCAAGGCTGTATTTGCAGCTCAGTCTCGAGGGCATCTACCCTAATTAAAATGGCTAATTTGCAAAACCTTTTGTTGTTCAGTATTTCTATGGATCCACCCAACAAGAGTCCTTTATCATGCTCCAGCATCCATAACACAGTTAAAGAAAAGAAAGCTACAAACAGATCATTAGCTGGATGTATAACTTCTCTTTCACTTTCTGCTAACTACACCTGTCCTGCACCATGTAATGGTTAATTATGTCACAGACAAGTATTCCTACATCTTCCTCATGGTGTAGTCATTGACATTCCTGTCATTTTAATAGTGTAACAGTAGAGGAAAGGTGCTCACATGCCAATTTTCTCTTCAGCAACAATAGGTTGTTGATTGTTAGCAAGAACAGTTTATGACGCAATAAATATGTCGGTGTATTCCCCGTGTGCGTCTGTGGGAGGGACAGATAGAGAGAAAGAGGTGCACTGTTGAATAAATGTGTGTGGGATACAGTGTTAAGGATGATTTATTTCTCAAAGCTCGGTTCATGACAGTGACGTGAGCTGGAATGTGCCGAAGGGTTTCCCAGCCAAGGACACGAGGACATTTGCAGGAGGATGACCTGCAGGAAAAAAAAACAAAAAAAAACAATTAACACATGCTCTTTTAGAGTCAGTCATAATTATACTTGTCATGACAACAGCCAATTACCCTGTTAACCCAGCGGAATATTTAGTCCTTAGTTTTTTTGAATGAGAGTAGCATGCCCTGCCAAGACTGTCATGTTTATCATTTTGAAGTAAGTACCATTTAAATTGCTATACCACTATAATCAGTGTAATTGACCCAGAAGGAACAGGTTGCTAATAATTTTGTTAATCGATTTCATTAAGTTTTGATACATTATAAATTATGCAGTCATCAATACATTGGATCATTGTCATTTAATTAATTGGGAACATGTCTTGATTTTTCGGAATTATTTTGTGGTAAAAGGGTGGAAACGGCTCCGAAACAGTATTTAGAGCATGATGCAAAACTAAAACTCCTCTTTGAGACCCAGGCTAATTAAATTCCTTTAGGGTTAGCAGCTCTTCAAGTCAGGGCAACCCAATCCATCTGTTCAATGGGACAGAATAATACATTTAAATGAAGGCTGAAAGTTCAGACCGCATTAAAAAGAATAAATTGAATATGCTGAAAGAGAATCAGCATTGGTACATAATGCTTTTTTATGCATGCCATAACTGAGTTTATCTGTACCGTAGCTAATGCCAAATAGCAATTAAACCCTGAGGGATTCATTAATTTTTTACTGGTATGTACCACATTTCTGTCCAAAAGGTTAGCTTGTATGAGAAGCATGGAGAAGAATTACTCAGTTTCTAATATAAAATAATTTTAATCTGGGTTATACCACTTCATGGTATTTGAATGATGAACTTAATGACATTTTGGGTAGGTTTCAGAACACAATGATTTGGTTGGGCCTTCACTCAAGGAATACTTACTCTCTTTCCCCAGAGCTTTTAGATCATATCACACAAAAATGCCTGATGATGTGAGCTGAATATTTATCAGTCATCTCATGAGGTCAGGAAGGACTTGCTTTTGATCGGGGTCGGGGAAAAGTCAGGATTTCGGTTAAAATAAATGCTTCAATAAAGTTAGAAAGCACTTGTCGTCATGGTTAAGTGGTTAAAAGTTGAGGGAACATTTGCAGCCATAGTTTAAAACAACTAGTGTTTACATTCAGTTGGCTTAGCTGATCCACCCATCCCAGCATTCTGTACAGCTCTGTGGCAGGTCAATAACCAGCAATTTGATGCTGGTTAACGTGACGGCGTTTTGATCGTCATTACATTGACGCTGACGTCAATGTGATGGTCTCTCTTATTTCCCATGTTGAGCAGACATTGGCAGGGCCCACTGTCCCGCTCACTGGACCATCATTGCGTCCAGCGCTCTCTGGTTGTTATGGAATGCTCGAGCGCTTTGTAATTGGTAGGTCGGTTCGTCCTAAAACAAACGTTTCTTCGTGAGTAAGATTGCAGGACCACTCATTTGAAAAAGACTGCATTATTAAAGCTTTTATGGCTCATCATTCAGAATTGATTAACCTTTGTGTGGCGAGGCACTGGAGCCCCATTGCACTGAGAGAACCTTAAAAGAGAGAAGCCCTCTCCTCCTTCCCTCCCATCTTCACCTCACGCATGATAATCAGCATGAACGTAGGGCTTGTAGCTGGAGACTGAAGGAATGAACATGCACTGTGTGAATGCAGATGGTGCCCTATCTAATGAGGAATTCACACCTCCCCTAATTACACTAAAGGAAATGTCTGGAGCGAGGCTGCAGCTTCACAAGGTGCTGAGTGCTTATTGTTCCCAGAAACCTAATTACTCCTCAGCTCTGTTTTAAATGACTTTAAGTAGAGGCTGCGAGTTCGCAAGCTTGATTTCTCCATCCTCACTGCGTTTGAATAGAACTCCGTCACGTTGAGGATTTTTGCTGTTTTCGCCAATGCCATGCATTGGAAGTTAAGAGCGCGTTTCAGCCAGCACTCCATTGTGAGTCAACAGTGCCACATAGCCACCCTCCGAAGGGCCCTCCCCGCTTTAGCTTTCCTCAAGCACACTTGTAAACAAGGCCTTTTGTTCTTGCGGCACATTTGTGAGTGGGCACCGCTCGTAGAATAACCATTAATATTTATTCAAGCGGGTGTTCACATCTCTGAGCCAGAAGAAATCGCTGTGGAGAAGGGCACAGAAATAGGATTTGAAATTGGTTATGGGAAAGGCTAGAAGACCCGTGTGTGTTTGCGTGTGCACATGCTGTGTGCGCACATTCAACTTGAGACCAGAGGAATGGGGTTTAGGTGCAATCAGCAAGAGGTACAAACAATGAGTGAAAGGAAGAGTCTGTGGAAATTGATTTTAATGTTAACTGCTTGTATTGGCCCGCAGCACAAAGCCTGTTACACTCAGATAGCAACTTTTACAAAAGTTAGGCTAGGCTGTGAAATATTCCAGAGCAAAAAAAAAAAGGGGAATGTAGCCAGATGTCGCTCTTTAGATTGTGGCGGGTTTGACTACAAACGTCTTGGAATGCCAAAAATGCCATGACTGTCATTTGAAAAATAGATCTGGTAATATAGACACCATTTCAAGTTTCAGATTATATTTCTGACTATATCTATTTGTTACAAATATTTGAGGATTAAATAAAAATGGCTGAAATATTCCACTGAAACCTTCTACCTACTTTTCAAAAAATCTATTGGTCACATGGGAAAAAGCATAATAACTCAAGCTTCAAGCATTAGAAAGTTGGATGGATGAGGATGGAGCTTCCTCATGCAGATATGTTAGCTGGCTGTTTTTAAATCAGGTGTTATGTTGTCTTTGTTGAGCTGTGATACACAAACTGCTGTTTGCAAAGTGTCCGCTCAAATGTTTTTCACCCATTTTAAGAGATGCAGCTCGAAGAGACTACTTCACCATGGTGTCACTTTGTTTGGAGTCGAATCAAAGTAAATGTTAAGAAAGTAAAAACCTTGCAGTCCTCATTAGGTTGAGCAAATTGAAAGTAGTAGTGGAAGTCGCCGCCAAAATTAATGGATTATTCCTGGAAGGCTATTGATGTAGTTCTTTCCTCCTTAAGCATGTTACACCAGCAATTGTCTGTCCAATGACAATTTGTTTTCTGTTTGTTATCCACAATTTAAATGTCACTAAGAGGCATTTATGGAAAG